CGGCTCAGCCCAGGACCCCGGGGAAGAGGCCTGGGGCAACCGGGAGGCTCAGAGGTCACACACCTCACCTACAGTCCCGGCCAAGACACACCGGGGTAACGGTGCAGAGGCCGAGGCTGCGGGAGGGCAGCAGGCCATCCCTGCCCTCTATGCTCCACAGCCCCTCGTGGTGTGTTTCCACCGGTCGTGGCACCTTCACGGGAGCTGCTCGATGCCCGAGAACCGCGCCCTGGCCATGGCGCAGGGCGGGGAGGGGTGTAACTGACCCTTCTACCTAAAGCACAGCCCTCAGGGTCCAGGTTAAGTCGGGGCGGGTCTGGCCCGACTTCTGTCCCCTTCCTTCCTGAGGCCACTCAGACCACACTGGCCATCTGGCCTCACCCAGGGGCTCCGGGTCCCGGGGGGCTGCCCGGTGCCGGGGCCGGCTCCGCAGCAGAGGTCAAGGACAGCCACCGGCTGCCACTCCGGTCACATGCCCTGAACTCCCACCTGCTGGGCCTGAGGACCTGCCCCAGGCCTCGGCCCTGTCTGCCCTGTGGGACCTCGGGGAGCCGAGCCCCAAGGTCTCACTGCATCCTGAGTCTGAGCCTGGGGCAGGCAGAGGAGGGGGAGGGACGGAGGCGTCTGTCTGTCTGTCCACAAGGGCTCTGCGTGGTGATGCCGCGTCCCCCTTTGGCGCAGGCACAGCCCCCAGAGGGAGGGCGGCCCCAACAGGCCCCCCGCAGGCGCTCCTGTCCTTCAGCCCTGGCCGTGCTGCCCTCTGCCGGCGGCGTGAGGCACCGCAGGGTGTCCCGTCCCCGGAAGTTGTAAGATCTCAGCGCCGCCAGCCCGGGAGCCGGCGCTGTGGGCGGGGCCTGCGGTGTGGGCGGGGCCTGCCGCGGGTCCGCCTCCAGGGGCGGGGCCTCGCTGTCCCCGCCCCGGGCGCCCTCCCGCGGGGCTGGTCCCCGGGGATTCCCACCGGACAGGACGGCGGCGGGAGGCGTGGCCACCGTCCGGCCAGGCCCGCCAGGCCCGGGGGGAGGCCAGGGGCGCCCGCGGGGGAGATGGGAGACATTGGGACAACCGCCGGGCCGGGCCTCATCTCCTCTCCGGCCCGAGGCCGCCGGATTTCTGATTAAACACGGTCACTGCCTCCTGAGGACGGTTGTCCCCGGGCCAGAGCTGACGCTCTCCGGGGCCACGGGCGGCTCCGCGGGGCCGGGCGGGGCCGGCGAGCGGGGAAGACGGGCCTCCGCGGCCTCCCCGGGCCTCTGTGGACAGAAGCCGCGGGGGTTCCGGTGACGATCGTCCTGGCTGAGGGGAGCCCTGCCCTGCCCCGGGGGTGCCTGTGTGTAAACGGCCCGAGCCAGGGAGGGAGCGGGGCCGCACCGCGGGCCACGCGGGATGGCCGCTCCCCGCACGTCCGTCCGCCTGTCTGTCCGTCTGTCTGCCTGTCTGTCCGTCCGTCCGCCTGCCTGCCCGTCTGTCTGTCTGTCTGTCCGTCCGTCCGCCTGCCTGTCTGTCCGTCCGCCTGCCTGCCCGTCTGTCTGCCTGTCTGTCCGTCCGTCCGCCTGCCTGCCTGCCCGTCTGTCTGTCTGTCTGCCTGTCTGTCCGTCCGCCTGCCTGTCCGTCCGTCCGCCTGCCTGCCCGTCCGTCTGCCTGTCTGTCCGTCCGTCCGCCTGCCTGTCTGTCCGTCCATCCGCCTGCCTGCCTGCCCGTCTGTCTGTCTGTCTGTCCGTCCGTCCGCCTGCCTGTGCCCCCGCCGGCCCCGCCCTGGCTCTCAGCTGTGGCCCCAAAGCGCTGCCCCGCGGGGGAGAGGCCCTGGCCGCACAGCCGCCGGCCTCAGTGGCCCCAGGGGGACATGCTGGAAGGGACGTCAGGGACGAGATGTCCTGGGAGCGAGGATGACGCTCAGGGCCCGGCCCCGCGCTGCGGGGGCTCAGAGCCCGCGAGGGGCCGCGCCAGTCCCTCCGCTGCCCCGTGTGCGGTGCGGCCAGCAGCCCAGCCCGAGCACGTGCACAGCCCACCGCGTCCTGACGGCGGGGCCGAGCAGCCAGGCCCCGGCTCAGGGGACACCCCTCCGCGCACCTGCCTCCCCCATTCCCGGCCCGGGTTTCCCTCTTCGTTCCCACGGCCACAGTCACTTCCGGAGAGCCATTCCGGACCCTTCCTCCCGCCAAACCCAAGCCACAGCCCGCCCTCCAAGCCCCGCCCACCCAAGCCCCGCCCCGACGCCCCGAGGCCGAAGCCACGCCCCATCAAACAAGCCCCGCCCGCCCACCGCCCCAGCAGACAGGCCAGTGAAGTTAGCTTGTCTTCGGCCCCATGGTTGGTTGGGGAGCTTGGGAAGGGGCAGGGAGGAGGGATGTGGCCCATGGGCTATCCGATTCAGCCTTTTCTGGGAGAAATAAATCTCCAGACGGGCTTAGAGAAGAAAGTAGGCACCCACCGGCTTAGCCACCGGCTAATGTTACAGCTCCAGGTACAAACCACACCCAGCACGTTCAGAGGAGAGGCCACAGGCTCCGGTGCTCAGGGCGGTGCACACAGAAGGCCAAACACGGGCCTCGCAGCAGCTCTGCAGACCCGCCGGGCCGGGCGGCTGCCGGAACCCTCCCCGGGAGCTCGGCCACCGTCAGCCTCAGTCTAGAAGCTCCCGCCAGGCGGTGCCCTGCTGTGCCCACCCAGGAGGCCCGCTGGCTGGGGGCTCCCCGAGGCTGCACAGCCGGCGCCCGCCCGAGCGCTGGGTCTTCCTGAGAGAAGCACCTGGGCAGTGTGAGCAGGAAGGAGGCGCCAGGTGGGAGGCGCAGCTGGCTCCCGGGGGCCGCTCGGGCCTGCCCGGCCTGCTCCTGAGAGCAGCTGCCGCTCCTTCCCCCAGACCCGGGAGGTCCCAGCGGCCGGGTGGGTGGCCGGCCTCGGGCGAAGATGCCAACCTAAACAGGCCCAGCTGCCGCTCCGAGGCCCTGTGTGCACAGAGAGGGCGCGTCCCGGCAGGAGTATTTTTATCCCGGAGGCCGCCGGCCGGCGGGAGGAGCAGGGCTTTCCTGGGCAGGCGCAGGGACCCGGCCCGCGGGCCCTGTGGAGCTGGGTTAGTCCTGGCTCCAGTGGGGCCACTGAGCACGGAGGAGCCCACCGCAAGGAAAGCAGCTTCTGGCCAGCTGACGGCCCTCAAGCGAAGGCGGGAAAGAGCGCTGGGAACGAGCCAGAGACCCTCCGCCTCGCCGGCTGCGGAAACCCTGTAAATCAGAAGCGGCCAGCCCCTGGCCTAGCACCTTGATTAACGAGGACCCGGAATAACAGGTTTATTTTTAGACAAGCTTCTCGGGTGAAGAGGCAAAGGAAAACAAGCTCGGGCAGGGCTATTTTAAAAAGCAGTTTCCAAGAAAGGTCCACTCCGTGTCCACCCCGTTCCCCACGGTGATGAGGGCCAGGCGGCCAGGACCGGCTCAGCGGAGGCCCCGGACGCAGTGTCCGCCTCCTCAGCCCGAGGAGCGGCCCCAGAGAGGCCGCAAGGCCGGCTGTGTCCCCCCAGCCCCCTCAGGGCATCAGGTTCTCAACCAGCCAACCGCGTGAGGCCGTCACCCGAGCACTGGATCCACCGTGTCGTGTGGCGCTGGGCCAGGCCTGGCACCCGGGCTCTCAGCCCATCCCCTGGGGGCCCCTCGGCCCTCACAGGCCCTGCCTCCCTGGCTCCTGGGCTCCAGACAGCACCCACATCTCGAGCGCATCTCTCCCGCAAGCACCTCCGACCCGCACCAGCTTCTGCCCAGAGCACAGCGTCAACGCCACCTCAGCGAGACCCCCTCGGCATCCCTGTGGGCTCAGACATTCTCGGCACCGAGCTGCCCTCCCAGTGGCCTGTGGTCAGTGGGGCCTGGTCCTAACCCCTAGGGACACACTCACCTGCCAACAGGAGGCCAGAGAGCAGGAGGTGCCCGGCCGGCCCTCTCCCCTGCACTGTCTTGGAGCACAAGGGCGACCCACCCCCCCTCCCGGTCCTTGCCACCTGCCTCAGGCATCACCACCTGTCTGAAATGAGCGTTGAGTGCAGGCCTCGCTCAGCTCAGCCGGTGCTGGGAGGAGCTGCTGGGGCAGGGGCAGCAGGGCCCGGGGGCAGCAGGCGGGAGGCACTATGGCCATCCCCCTCCACGCTGCTCCCGCCCGCCTGTCAGTGGGCAAACGGCCGGCACGCCCTCGCTCCACAGCGGATCCTGTGCAGCCGGGGGCCACCCGCTGGGTGCGTCTCGCCATTTCTGCCCGTCGGAAGCTTTCGTTCTGCAACACCTGTGCCCACGAGGCAGGCGTGGAGTGAAACCTGGGATTCTCATCACAGTGAGCCTGCGAGCAGACCCGTGCCAGTGTCCCTGGCTGAATTTTTGGGTCTGGAAATGGAATATAATGTTGGTTCTGAGTGCCGACTGGTTTTTAAAAAAATGTATTTTTATTGATTTGAGAGGGGGAGAGAGAGAAACATCAGCAATGAGAGAGAATCATTGGTCAGCTGCCTCCTGCATGCCCACACCAGGGGTTGAGCTTGCAACCCGGGCATGGGCCCTGACCGAGAATCGAACCCTGACCCCTGGTTTGTAGGTTGATGCTCTGCCCGTAAGCACGCCGTCGGGCTGAGTGGTACTCTCCACCGAGCAAAGAAAAGGGATTTACTGTAAGAAACACTGAGGCTGGAGGCGGTCCAGTGCAAACCAGGTGCTCGCAGCTGCGCCAATCCGGTGCGGGGGCCGCCCGGAGCCCACACGGACACCCCGTCCGTCCTGACGCTGTGCTCACCTGCAGAGTGACTGCCCCCCTGGTCACAGCCACGCTGAGGATCCTGCCTCCAGTCAGTGCCTGCTCTCGGGACTTAATAACCCGACTCGTAAGGAAAGAAATGCGCTGGAGCGCAATCATCCAGAGCTGTCACTCAGCACCTGAGACATTCTCTACAAATAGCAGTTAAAAAACACGTCACCACCCCACTGTCTCATGTGAACAGCGTGAGCAGAGAAACGGAGAAATGCGTCTTATTTGAGGAAGTTTATTGTTACATTGTTGCAATAATAGATGAGGCACCGCTACCTCCTGCTCCTCCAACATCTCAATACAAAAGACAATTATCAAGGTGACAGTGAAATTAAGATAAAAAATTACAAAAGCCGAGGCTTTGGAAACAAGAAGGACTAGTCTATGTGTAGAAAGTTGTAAATGGTTTAGTTCAGCCTCACAAGTGTAACTTCTTCTCCGGTTAGGCGCCCCAGGACAGGGCAGCGCCGGGACGCCCTCCTCGGCCGGGACGCCCGGGCCAGGCGAGGAGCCCACAGGGTGCAGGGCGGCCGAGCTGGTCGGGGTCCTGGCCTCCGGGCCCTCCCGCCCCGCTCAGCGCGGTCCCGGTGCTCACACTCACACCAAAGTGAGCAAACGGCTCGGCCTGATGAGGGCGCTCAGGGGCCCAGCCGGGCCCAGCCGCCTCTCCGAGCCCCATTTCCCGGCGGGGAGGACCAGCCCGCTCCTCACACCCCTGACACCCGGCGTCCCGGCACCGAAGGCGACCGCGACCTCAGAACCGCCTGCCTGAGTGCCCTGCACCCTCTCCTCTAGGCCACATGGCCGGGCCTGGGCCACAGCCTCTGCTCCTGGAGAGCCACAGGGGCCGGCACCCAATCAGCAACTTCTTTCTCACCAGAGCCGGCCCTCCGCACACGCCCCCAGGCTCTCGCGCTGTGGTCTCCTCCTAAACAGGTGACGAGGTGACTCGGGAGCGGGCTCCTCCTCGCCCCCCCCCCCCCCGCCCCGGGTCAGCCCTGCCGCAGACTCAGTGTGACATGGGGCCCAGGGAGGGGCCCTGAGGACCAGGCCCGGGGGTGGCTAAGCCAGTGGATTCTGGTGCTGGCGAGCGAGGAAGCTCTCTCCTCTCTCAAGTGCTAGGCGAGCCCCCCCCCCCCCCCCCAGACCGCAGGGAGGGCCGAGGCGGCAGTGGAATGCATGCTGTACAGTGTGGCACCTGCCGGGCGGCCTCCACGGGCCCAGCACCCCGAGTGGGGAGCACGTGCTGCTGGCATTCAGGAGGCAGAGCCTGGAAGGACCGGATGGAGGGCGGCCTGCGAAGGGACAGCCCTGGGAAGGGACGGCTGTAAGAGGCACTGGGTGGTGGCAGTCTGCGGGACCCAGGGTGTGCGGGTCGGGCTCCCTGAGGGTCAGTGTCTGCGGAGCACAGGCCGCCGGCTGGACACGGCTGTGCTAACCCTGCGCTGCACCCCAGCGGCCACCTGCAGGCGGCGGGTGTGACTTGGCGGGGGAAGAGGGGAGGGGTGGCAGGGCAGGGCAGGGCGGGGCGGTCGGGAGTAATAAGCACCGCCCAGTGCTACGCAAGGGACGTGCCCTGTCCATGCGACGGACAGGTGGCAGGAGGAGGCAGCGCCTGGGCACTAAGGCACAACACTCCAGGAGCCCCCCACAGCCGGGGGCTCCGGGACGTGGCACAGGAGTCTTAAAAGGCAACGCGCTCCCTGGGAGGGGCGCCGAGCCCCGCGCCCGCCTGTCTGGCACTGGGTCGCCCACACACCACACGGGCAGGGCTTGCGTTAGTGGCAGGAAGACCTGCGGGCTGGAGGGAGCCGGGCAGGCGGGCGCTCGGTGCTGGTGTCAGCGCGCGCAGGCACGCGGACCCACCCTGGGCACACGCGGGCGCGCACACAGCAGTGCCCCGGCCCGCCGGCTCTCAGTAGTGTACCGCCGGATTCGGTGGCCGTGGCGGCCTCACTGCAGCATGATGTCCTTGAGGTTCTCCTGCAGGATGGTGTCCTTGACGGCGTGGAAGACGAAGCGGACGTTGTCGGTGTCGATGGCCGTGGTGAAGTGGTGGAAGAGCGCCTTGCTGCGGTTGCGCCGCCGCCGGTCGAAGCACTGCACCAGGTAGCGCTGCACGTCCTCCAGCCGGTGCGGGTCGCCGCGGAAGTCGGGGAAGTGCTTGCTGATGGCGACGCTGCGCACCTTCTCCGCCAGCAGGTCCGTCTTGTTGAGGAAGAGGATGATGGACACGCTGGCGAAGAGCTTGTTGTTGACGATGGTCTCGAAGATGTTCATGGACTCCAGCAGCCGGTTGGTGCGCCGGTCCTCCATGAGCACCTGGTCGTACTCGCTGGAGGACACCATGAACAGGATGGACGTGATCCCGTCGAAGCACTGGAACCACTTCTGGCGCTGGGACCGCTGGCCGCCCACGTCCACCATCTTGAAGGGGATCTTCTTGATCACGAAGTCGTGCTCCACGATGCCCTTGGTGGCCTTCCTGGCCAGCAGGATGTCCTGCTTGCTGGGGAAGTAGTTCTGCAAGACAGGGCGGAGCTCAGAGAGGGCGGAGCTCAGAGAGGGCGGGGAGATGGGAGGGGGCGGAGCTCAGAGAGGGCGGAGCTCAGAGAGGGAAGGGGGATGGGAGGGGGTGGAGCTCAGAGAAGGGGGATGGGAGGGGGCGGAGCTCAGAGAGGGAGGGGAGATGGGAGGGGGCGGAGCTCAGAGAGGGAGGAGCTCAGAGAGGGAGGGGAGATGGGAGGGGGCGGAGCTCAGAGAGGGAAGGGGGATGAGAGGGGGCGGAGCTCAGAGAGGGCGGAGCTCAGAGAGGGAAGGGGGATGGGAGGGGGTGGAGCTCAGAGAAGGGGGATGGGAGGGGGCGGAGCTCAGAGAGGGAGGGGAGATGGGAGGGGGCGGGAGCAGGGAATGGACGGGTAGGAGAGACAGTCAAGGGGCTCGGAGAAGTCGAACCAAATACTGCCGGCACGCTGCTGGTAGAAGCAGCGGTGCTGGGAGCCTCAGAGCCCGAGTCTCCCCTTTGCGACCTACGTGCCCCCACGTGGGTGCTCAGGCGCAGTCCCCCCAAACCCAACCGGGACAGCAGCGCCTCAGGACCAACCACCACGTGCAGGGCGGAGGGGACCTGCTGCAGGTGGAGGGAGACGAGGGGAGAGACCACCCAGCACGCTGGCAGGGAAAGCGGAGAGCCGGAGGGGGAGCGCAGGGAGAGGTCTGAGTGACCGGGACCCGTGTGGCCTGGCTGCGGGAGTGGCGGCACCCTTGGACCTGCTGGCTGGCGCTGGCTGGCGCCAGGGATGGCGGAGTTTCCCAGGAGCCACAGGGCGGTGGTTCTGACTTCTGGAGTCTCACTGAGGGACTAACATAACCACGGACCTGCTCCTGGGAGGGGGCGGGGGGGGCCACAAGACGGACCACAGGGACAACTGTCCCCCGGGGCTCCGTGGACTTCTTAAGCAGCTCTTTGTGAAGTTAATCCTCCTCTGAGGGTGTCTTTCCAGTGACTTTTAGAGAGAGTGGAAGGAACAGGGATAGACACTGACTGGCTGCACCTGACCACATCGAACCCGGGACTGTCCGGGAGCCGACCAGCCAGGCTCATCAGCGCTCCGTTGGCACATGTGTGACCCCCACAGTACAGGGGTCGGGCGGAGGGGTTCTGCAGAAACACCGCCTCCCATGGCGTCACAGGCCTGGCGGCCTATGAGCAGGAGTGGAGTTCCCTCGGGGAACGGGGGCCCTCCCCTGAGCCCTGTCCCTCCGTCCTCGTGGCCCAGCCAAGGGCTCCTCAGTCCGCGGAGCCCGAGCCACCGAGCGGCTTTGCTCTCCAGAGTCCCAGGCGGGCGGGCGGGCGGGCGGTCTGCACTCACCAGCTGGCCGATCCGGTCCAGGTTGTCCAGGAAGTACTTCACCGACTCCCCCTGTCAGGAGGACACAGAGCGCGTGTCAGCTGCGGGCCGATGTGCCAGGCCCCACGGGCAGTGGCACTGGCGGGGGCTGAGGCATTGGAGGAGCGGTCAGTGACAGCCGCACACGTTTCCCTGAGAAGCAGGATGGCCGGAGGGCGGGCCCCATAGGGATGTGCACTCTGAGCGGCCACTGGAGCCTGACTCTCTCACCCCAGCCCGGGCTCTCTCACCCCGGGCTCTCTCACCCCGGCCTCTCTCTCACCCCGGGCTCTCTCACCCCGGTCTCTCTCACCCCGGCCTCTCTCACCCTGGTCTCTCTCACCCCGGTCTCTCTCTCACCCGGTCTCTCTCACCCCGGCCTCTCTCACCCTGGTCTCTCTCACCCCGGTCTCTCTCTCACCCGGTCTCTCTCACCCGGTCTCTCTCACCCCGGTCTCTCTCACCCGGGCTCTCTCACCCCAGGCTCCCGGGGCCCAGGGCTCCACTCCTTCACCGAGGCTCTGTGGGAGGCGGGCTGCCTTGGGAAAAGCAGCGGCACAACCCACACCCATGGCAGCACCATTGAGACTCGGAGGGACCGAGAGGGAGGAGCGAGGTCGCGGCCGGGGAAAGGAGCTGGAGGACAGCCCACCAGCTCGGAGGGATCCTCCCACTCGTCCCAGCGGGCCCGGAGGAAGCACCGAGTCCACTTCCTTTCCGGAAGGACCAGCTCCCATTCCACAGCGGAGGCCTCTGGCTGCCTGACTGTCTGAGGCCGGGCAACCTTCCTGCAGCACACGGAGCACGCTAATCAAACGCAGCCCCCCCACGCCCCCCTCCCCAACCCCCAGCAGCCCGGCCAGAGTGGAAGGCACCCACAGCTCCAGAGAGAAAGGCCCCCCCCCCCCCCTCTGCAGCTGCCTCCGTCACCTGACGCCGGCCCTCCCCTCCCACTCGAAGGGGAAAGCCAGGGTCTGGGATGGGGAGGCAGTGCGTCCCGCCCGCCCGCCCGCCCGCGTCTGCTGGCTGCTGTCCGTGTTCTTGCTTTGTCTGCAGCCCCTGCTCTCCCACGCGGACAGGAAGCAGCTGTGAGGGAAGCGCTGTGGAGCCTCCCTGACGTCCTCTCCCTCGCCGCCTGCCTGCCGCCTAGCCTTCGGGGCTGGGACTGGCCCTCCCACGGGAAGCGGGCGCTCAGCCGCCACCCACGCCAGCGGACCGACGGGCACTGGTCTCACCTCGGCGACTGTCCCCAGAGCAAAAGCACCAGCGTTCGCTGGCGGACAGATGGCACCGGAGCCCCGCGACCACGTTCGCAGTGTCCAGGACGCCACCACATCCCTCCTGTGCGGAGAGCGAGGACGCACTGTCCTCCGGAGAAAAGCCGGCAGCCACCACTCCATCACCAGGTACCGGGCCACTGACAAAGCTCGAGGCAGCTGTCAGTTAGTTCCCTGGGCAGTAACATGCTTCCCGGGGACAAAGACAAAAACCTCCGCAGGTACACAGAGCGCCGCGCAGAGCTTGTGGGACTTCAATGCACAGAATCTAAAGGGAAAAATGGGTGGGCGGACTTACCAGACTGGAGATGAGCCAGAAAGAAAGAGTGAGCTCTGACACGAGAATAACAGAAATGAAAAGATTCACCACAGAGGACAGCGGCCTGGCCCCCGGGGACCACAGCAGAAGGTCTCACACCGTAACTGGAACCCAACAGGATCGGAGAGCCGGCGGGAAGAATGGTTTTTGTATAAAAAACACCACTTTCCTAACTGGGTGAAAGAGGCACATTTACAGATTTCAAGAAGCTCACAAACTCCAAACACGCAAATGTGGAGAGAGCCGTGCTCAGGGCACTCGCGCAGGCGACGTGGGACCCTCACTGTCCCGGCTGCCGCAGAGGCCTCGCCTCGCCAGGGCAGAGCTGAGCACGGACCCTCACCCCCCCTCCTGGGTCCCTGGAGCTGGCGGGCGGGCTGGGCCCCGCCACAGAGACAGGCAGGCCAGCGTCACGGCCTATGGGGCCAGAGATGAGGCTGAGCAACTGACACATGATGTCCAGCTTCAGCAGGAAATCCCAAGACACGCTGAAAGGCGGGAAACACGACCGTAATGAACTCCTCCAAAGAGGGACCGGCACAAAGCCGAGGACGGACGGCAGATGAGCCGTGGAAAGGCGCTCCTTCACCAGCACTCAGGAGGCGCCGCCTGGGCACGCGGCACGGCCCACGCCCTCGGTGGTGGGTCGGAAGCTGGAAGCTCCCTGGGGGCAGCCCCTGCGTGTCGCTCACTCATTCCACAGAGCAGCCCCTCCACACGCACACACGCACGCATGCACGCACACACGCACATACACACGCATGCACGCACGCACGCACACACGCACACGCACACACACGCACGCACACACGCACGCACACACGCACGCACGCACACACACACGCACACACACACGCATGCACGCACGCACACACGCACACACACACGCATGCACGCACGCACGCACGCACACACGCAGCACCCACGCCTGAGTCACCGAGCAGAGGTTAAAGCGGAGAGAATCGGAAAACACGGGCCACGGGGCGGGTCTGCAGCCAGCCACAGCGGTGACAGCAGCCACGTGCACCGCACCGGAGGGGAGGAGACCCGCCCGAGGCCTCGGCATCCCGGCCACGGCCACACGGTGCGCTCGCTGTGAGACGTGGGGTGGGATGTGAGGAACCAGCACCTGAGGCCCCTCGGAGACCCTCCAAACGCAGCGGTGACCTCTCCGCGCACAGCGACTGCGCCCAGGGTTGACCTCCACGGAGCCCGGGGCAGGCCCGGCCCCCCTCTGGCACCCACCAGGCGGCACGCGTGTGGCTCCACGGCACGCGTGTGGCTCCTCGGCACGCGTGTGGCTCCTCGGCACGGTCAGGGCTGACAGGCGGGGACACCCAGGAAGGGTGCCAGCGGGTGGCCGTGCAGGTGGCAGCCGAGAGAGGGCCCGGGGAGGGGGGTGCGGGCAGCGTGACGGCTCGGGGCTTTTGAACCGCTGGCGGTTCAGCCGCGCTTCTCAGAGCCGGTGACAGGGCGCCCCTGCCCCTCCTCCCCCGGCCACCAGGGAGCAGCAGGGGCTCCACCTGAGACCCGGACCCACAGCAGTGACACAGGCACGCAGTCCTAGAGGCTCAGCCGCAACCGAGAGCCTGTGCTTCGGGGGAGGCGCCGAGTCCAGAGCGCGGCCCACGGGCCGCTGTCCAGAGGGAAGCCCGCAAGCCAGGGCCGTGAGCGTGTGGCCGCGGACCCTGTGGGTGTGGGCACCAGCCCTCGGCTGTTCTCTCGGCCTCCCCACTCTCCTCGGGAAGGAGGTGTGGGGGAGCCTGAGCTGGGACCTGAGGGCGCGAGCTCACTTTACCCGCCGCTCAGTGTGGGCCCGTTCACCGTTTGTTCACTCCCCTCACCCGCCTGGACGAGGACCTGCCACAGGCCACGCCGGTCAGCCCACAGCAGGACGCACACCTGTGGCCACGGCAAGGCCGAGGACGCCACGCCACAGCCTGGCAGGTCCGTCAGCACGGCACGTGCCAGCAGGACACTGTCCCTTTAAGGCTTCCCACGCCCCCTCCAGCCCCGTGCACCTCCTCCAGCAGCATC